ATTTTATATTATTATTTTCTTCCCTGAGGACCCTGGGGTGCAACAAAATTTTGCAAAAATAGTCCAACTTTGCTGCCCAAGGGTTGAGAAGGAAGTGCAGTTTCCACCATAAAAAAGTTTTGTTTAATTTGATTTTTCAATGAAGTTTTCAAGACAGCAATGCTTTAGTACAAATATTAGTTCACTTAAAGGAGAGTTTACTATTTATAACAAAAGATTTATCTTCATTTCATCAGAAGTTCTCAATAATTATGCTGGGTCTAGAATTATCTGTTTTAAAGCATTTTAAAGTATGTATTCCCTATTTCCAATAAGGCAGGATGTAGAACTTGGATGCAAGGGTTCATTTGCCCAATTAATGTTCCACTTTCTTTCAAAAATTTAAATTCAATTTAAATTTGTATGGCATTCATCTTTCTTTTGTCTATAATAGAGTGATAGATAATTGGGCTTCAAAATTTATTAAACTAAGGTTTCTTAGTCTATGTCTGAATATAATAAAGAATATTTTTTTCTTATAAAATTTAGACATGGGCTTGAAACCAATTTGATTTAAGGAGGTTCCATCTTTATTATCAAGGTTGCATTGTAGTTTGTAATATATTTCACCATAGTGCAAAGAGTACCTCATGCAAAGAGTTTCATCCATACAAAGCCATACAAGGAAATTGATGCCTATTTTGCTCATAGATGTTTCATATGCACAAAGTACAAGTGGTACAGTTTGTATGTGTTCTTTAGAATAAAGAAAATTGAGCTTATTGAAATAGGAAGTTATTCAGAAAAAACTTTAGTGTTTTCCAGGAATTTTCCAGTTTCTTAAAATGTGGGCAATCTAAATTATTGTTGCAGTAGATGTCATTTAAGGCAGGAACCAATTAACATGGTGCTCAAGGAAAAAAAATTACATGCCTATAGAACTGTTTTGCCTTGGAAACACAGTTCAGGAATGGATTGTATTCAGTAGGCAAGGATCCACTGGATGACATACAAAAACATGAAGCATATAATTCCAATGAAAATGTGCATGCCTCATAATGTCTGGAAACTGGCATTCTTTTTCTGAGCTTTTTTTTATTTGAACTGCTGAGGTATTCTAAATTTACAAAGCTAAACAAATTTCAAAATGATTCCTGATTGTTAAATTGAATTTTTTCCCAAAGAAAGGTGGGTCTGCTCCTAACATTTTCATTTCTTTATTGGAGGAGGGAAAGGTAATTGTTCCTAAAGCTGAGGGGACTGGGAACTGATGTGAAAGGGGGAACTGGGGGTGGAGGGGAGAAGGAGCTGGGGTGAAGTGGGATTCTCTATCCCCTCTTTCCCTGGCTTCTTGTCATTGCTGGAGAATCACATATCCTCACCATCTCAAACAGTTCCCAGCAGGAAAAAATATTCCTGATTCTTGGAAGAAGGGGAATTTTCCTTTCTCAAAAAGGTGGTTGGGGGCATATTTGATACAAGGATGGAAAAAAACAGAAAATTAGGGGATGGAGTAGCCCACTCCCCCTCTGTTTGAGAAACAATTACCCTTCCCAGTTCAGGGGAAAAAATGAACAGGGGCTTCCATAAAATATTCCAAATAAAAAGTTAGAAACATTTTCCAAAATTTTCAAACTTAACAATTTAGTATCTTCTAACTTTTATATAAAGCACAGAAAGATTGCATCAATTTTCAGAAAAAAGTGGAAAATATGCAACAGTGGGAATAATGTGGTAGATACTGTCTTTTTGAAGCATTAGTAAAACCACCACCAAAATTGGAGATATGCCAATAACAATATACTGTATTTGAAATGCAATTATATACTTGCTTCTTAAGGTAATTCCTAAAAATGTGTGAAGCATAGAAGATAAATTTCAAAATTACTTATATACCTGCTTTTGGGATACACGCAGAAATTCACATTGCATGCGTCCCCAAATGTGTGGGACACATGCAATGTGAATCCCTGCACTTCCTGCATGCGTCCCCAAATGTGTGGGACGCATGCAATGTGAATCCCTGCACTTTCTGCATGCGTCCCCAAATGTGTGGGACGCATGCAATGTGAATCCCAGCACTTTCTGCAAACATCCCCAAATGTGTGGGACGCATGGAATTTAAATTTCAAATTTATTTCTATACCTTCTTGCATGCATCCAAAACATTTCTGATGCATGGAATTTAAATTTCAAAATTATTTATATACAGTACTTGCTTAATGCTTGCTAATTGTTGACAAGGCACCAAATATAAATCTACATATATTTTGGATGCGCATAATGCTTTGTGAGCATTTGTGAAGCACCTAATGTAAATCTCAAAATTATTCTTACACTTGCTTAGGGCCTTATAAATTTCAAAGTGGACTCATACAGAATTTTTGAACTAAATTGAACTGAATTATTTTAGAAAAAGTTGTACAGCATATGCTTTATTTACACCTATATAACTGGTGCCATGACAGCAACTTTGACAAATATTTTCCTGAGGGGGAAAGCTTTTCTCATTTTGGTATAAATAAGCCTTATAAATTTCAAAGTGAACTCATACAGAATTTTTGAACTAAATTAAACTGAATTATTTTAGAAAAAGTTGTACAGCATATGCTTTATTTACACCTATATAACTGGTGCCATGACAGCAACTTTGACAAATATTTTCCTGAGGGGGAAAGCTTTTCTCATTTTGGTATAAATAGAGGACACTTATCATTTTGAAATGAGGAGTCATAAGTTCTCCTTTCTGATGAAAACTTGTTTACAATATGGTAAGTACTCTTCATGCTGTACAAGAATTGTGGCTGTGTATTTTATGCATAGATTAATCCAGCAAAGTACTGTACATGCATAGCATCAGGGCACCCCAATCTTTAGGCAATGAAGCCCTTCTATATCAACAATGTCCATTCAATTCCCAATTTTTGAATGCCCAGATTCAACCCATTTTATAACCTTCAATTCAATAATATTTTTTGGAAAAATCAATATTTGAAAACATTGAATCAATTAATTAGGTTATCATAAATCAAGAACATAATGCATTTGGAACTAATTATGAACTCAATAAATTTTGAATGAATAATAATTTTGAATATTTTACAACAAAAAATGAAATTTAGAAAACTGCAGAAGGTATTTAGTACAAGTAAATAAAAAAAATTGACTATGGAATGGTTAGAAAAATCTGGAAGATCCAGCATGCATACAATGAACATTGAGAATAAAGACAAATAAATACAATATAACCTTTTTACACTTCAATTCAAACAATTTCCCCTTGCATACATTTTAATTGTATAATTGGAGACATTTTCAATGAAAAGCATACCTTGAGTAAACCAATAAGGATGATTAAAACAAATAGTAATTATAATTTTGAAGAATAATTCAATTTGCACCAAACTTGAGGAGTCAAAGGAATAGTAGTTGTCCTGATATACTGCTTATACCAATGGAAACAGACTTTCTGAAGTCTCTCATGAGTTTGCTTAAAGGAGAGAGTGATGGGTTCAGGGAGTGAGGGGCTGGGGGGCGCACTAGCTCACATTTAGGCAGCTCACATGTGGGCTCCAGCAAGAAGTCCATCCACCCTATCCCACAAATGTTCCAGGACTGCCCTTCTCTTAGGCAAATGCATTACACCATTGTTCAGGAACAATATACCTACTCTGATTTATTTTTGTTTCTTGCTGATTTTTTCCTCCAAAAACAAAATATTATCTACATTTTTACCAGTTGTTACTTCAATAATGAATCCAAAAAAGTACTGTATAAAAGCAATTATGAGGCAAGATGTATAATTTCTTCAACTAATTTTAAATGGAAAATTGCCAGTTTGTGGTCTGTCCTGAAATTTCATATTGAATTTATTAATTGTAAAATGCTGAGGAGCACACCTTATGCATAGGGAACACATTTTTACCCAACATTTCCTCTGCAAAATCATGTGCAAATAATGGTGGTACAGTATTTTTGCCATAATACTGTACTGTATATGCAGATGAAGAAACCCAAGTGGGGAAATTGGTGCACACTGGGGATATGTCTATAATTCTACACAGTGACCCCATTGTGCACCGCCTGAAGTGTAACAGGGAAGTTCTTCTTTTGCTTATGTATATCCCTAATGTGCAGCAATTGTGTGTTCACACCACAATTACTCAGGATCACATTTGTAAACAAATGTTACACCAAGATTACAGTTGGTGCATTTGTGTGATACTCCTGTTATGTCATATTTGCGCACCAAATTTAGCCCTGGAATAGCACTTAGCAAAATTGCATCTGCAGGGGTGCATGTTTGTAACCCCAGGATCAATAGCCCATGTACACCAACACAAACAAAATATGTGGCTGACCATAGAGAAAAATTTATTTCACAGGCTAATAAGAGCATACTTTGAAGCTTTAAACCTGGTGACATAATTGCTATTTATCCTGGTTTATCCACTGTATAGATCCACATGCAGCAAATCATTGTTTCTGGATGCAAGACTGGGACCTTTTAAAGTGATTTTGGACAACTGGGACAAGGCAGATGTTGGGTTGGACCTGCATGGTCCCCAAATAATAGGAGGGTCAATACCTGGGAGATATGGTACCATGCATATGGCAGACTTTCACAAGCTCTCACTCCTGGTTTTGAAAAACAACTCCGGCTCATCAAACTGGACCCATGACTATCAGACATCGTTGATGCTGTTGCCAAAAATTCACATGCATGCGCAAATCATGAGTGTCCATTGGTCATTGAACTTGCAGCAAGATTAGATCATTTATAGACAGACAACCTGCATATTTTTGACCAATGCCCAGCAAAAAAAATTTGCATTAAAAATTTTTTGGCCTGAGCGCACCCATTCAATAAGGCATTTGCTGACCCATTCATTTGAGTTCTTCCAAAAACCAAACAGCCAGCTGCTGCTGGAGCTTTAGTCAGCCCAAACCTATTTATTGAGGCCTTAGAATTGAAGCCAATCCTAACGCCTCATTGAATGGGTTTACAAATGGGTCAGGGCTTACTTTTTCAATATTAAGTATCTTTTGTAATTGCATTGCCAGTGTATTCCTGGAAAACCCCTTAAAAACAATTCCTTTTATTTTCATCCAACGCTTGCTCCATCCAGATTCGAAATTCCATAAATTCTTTTCCCCATAACAGAACACTGAAACACAATGCGGGAAGAAAAAAAACAAAAAAAAACACAGGAACCAAATAAATTATGCCAGACTAAAATCCCAAACAAGTTGAACCTTTTTCACTTCTCATCTCCATACAATATATTTCCATAAGTGTATATTCATATGCACTTGGATCCCCGCAGCGCACGTACCACCAGATACTCGAGTCTTGTCACTTCTTCCGATTGCAGTCACGGCTAACTAAATCACTGAAGCTGCACCGCATCGAGGGGCTTAATGAATTTTCGCACACGGCACAATTTGTCACACTAGGCGCTCATCTCTACTAACATGTTCGCGGTGCCTCTGCAACTGGCAAGAGGAAAGTTTTTCTTCGATTTCTGCTGCCCAAGCAAAATCTGCATCATGTTTACTTGCAGTTAGGCATAATCGGCAATCGGAATGAGCGAGGTTCTCCATCACCGGCACAACACGCAATAAATAGCGAACAATGGGATGGAGTAGCGCGAAACATCTAGATCCGGGGCCAAAAATAGTCCTTGGGCACAGCTGGAATGTTTGTTCAATCCATCAGTAATTGACCGAGAAATGAAACAAATTTCCGGAGAAACAATACATGCGAAGTCAGCCATCAGAATAAGTAGAACAAAAAAACAGGAAAAATATGCGATGAGATTAAACCGGCCAAATAATGACACGGACGCGGAGTAAATATGTGCCCTGGTTGATGCCCCCGGAGATGTAGCAAAAGACGCGGAAACAAAGGCACACTCTACATGCCGTAGACGCCGCTTGTTCCCGCGTAGCCACCACCCATAGCATTCATGTTTGGCGGAGCGCCATAAGCATTCAGGTATGGTGCAGCGCCACCAGCCGGATTCTGCGAATAGCCTCCGCCCCCCAGAGCCATCGGTCCCGCCGTCAGCATCAACTGCGGCTCGCCCATCAAGATCGGTTTCTCGTCCATCGTCGGCCCTTCCTCAATGCGGCGCTGTTCTGCTTCCTCCAGCTTATCCAACTGAACGAAAGGTCAAAAGCACCTTGATCAAATTATCACATCGCATTCACAGAAGAATATTCGAAAAATACGCGCAAATTAACGTTACTGAAATTCATACTTGAAGCAGAGATAAAAGACACAGCGGGGTAAATTTCCTTTGGAACAACAAAATTCTTCATGTGTTTGGAAAGCGGAGTACAGTACACTTCTGAACAGCGCATTTCCAAAACTTAGTGACTTTCCACCCCATTCAGAGCGAATAATCAACTTCTCTCAGCTACGCAATTCACCTTCGTCTTATACTCCCGCAGAGTTTGAATGAAGTAAGGCATGGCAAAATCCATGATCGAGTGACGCCACGCTAGCTCAAGGATCAAGTCGGGTGAGAGGAGGTCGTAGCAATGGTAGAGGCAGGCAGCGAAACAATCACGATTTCCTCGTTCCAAGAAGTAGGCTAGCAAGTCTTCAGCCACCTGCGGCTTCTTCGACTCGGCTGCATATTCCATCGCGTCCTTGTACAGCTCGTCCTTTTTGCACAGCTCCACACTTTGCGCCCATCGGTTGTTGCCCTTGTACAGGTAGGCAGCAATACGACGGAACGCCACCAAGTCATGACGTTCAAGCCTTTGCGCCAATGCAATGTTGTCAAAGTTGTCGAAAGCGTCTATGCTTGTTTTGAGCCCCTGAGCAAAACAATGAACCAATTCAGCCATTGTTCACAGTTAACTAAGCCACAACTCGGAAGCCCTTCAACCAATGCACCATGAGAAGATGGACCTCACAAAAGACGAGCAAGTATACTGTACCAACCTGATAATCTTCCTCATCTATCAACAAATTGTTGAGGGCCTCGTTGATAGCCTTGTTGTTCAGGCTCTGCACGCCGCGCAAGTACGGCTTCACCAACTGGAGCTGGTTGGCCCTTGCAAACTGGGTCACGGCCCGAGTGTGATCCAACCTCGGCGACAAAACGAGCAACAGGTCATTAAGCACAAGTGGCTTATGCTCAACGTAGAAATTGATGGCCTTGTAGTAAAGCTCCACATTCGCCACGCGCGTCATTATATCTTTGAAGTGGCTCTCGCGCCAAGCGACTGTTGGATGCTGCATCATCGTGTTCACCGCATTATCGTACTCTTCATACTTGTCATACAGGAACACCAGCTCTGCCCACAAGTGAGCTTGCTCAGCTGCGCGCAACACCTGCGATATATATTAAAAAAAATTGTAAGCCTCGATGCTCAAACGAATGACTCCACTCCATCACTCCCGTGTCAAGACTAATGGAATCCTTACAACTGAGCCCTGGTCTTCTCAAGATCCACAAGGGCGTAGAACAGGCCGAACATGAACGACATGTCTTACCGTTCGAGACACTTGTACGGGTACACTCGTGCGAGATCAGGGTCCGCGGCTTCCAGGAGGCTGATGAGCTCCTCAAAATGACCTCGGTCTTGATAGAAGCCGATGAGGTCCTCAAGCTCGTCAGCATGCACAACGATGTGTAACCCGCACATCTGCGCCAGACGGAACTCCCCAGCATCAACGCATGCAAAGCAAACTTGCTTCCAAGTGCGCGTCGAATTGGCCTTGCGTGCTGAGTCAACGGCACCCTGGAACTCCTTAAGGTGGACAAGCGTGATGGCCAAGCGGGCAAAGTTGGACACATTGTTGTAAAGTAATTTGGCCGCGTCGTACATGCCTGCATCAAAGCAACGATCTCCAATACGGCCCACATCTGCGTGGTTCGGTCCAGCGACAAAGTCTTCCAGCTCCGCCAACCTGCCAGTCCTCGCGTAGGCGTACATCAATTCTGACTCCACGTAGGCCTCTCGGGCTTTCTTTTGAGCCATCAGCAAGTACCGCACCAGGTCTTCCCAGTGTCCGGTACGGTGGGCGGTATCCACAACTTGCATGAAGGCTGACGGGTCATCCGCCTTGATGTAAGAGTCAATGGCTTCCTTCACCATGTCCTGCTCCAACTGGGCGCGAGCCAGCTGTGACCACACGTCCGGTTCGTTGCACCGTTCGGCAAACTCGTACGCTCGGTCAAGATTTTTCACGTGCTCAATCAGCACCTGTATTGCGCTTGCATTCACTTCAAACTTGCGGAATATGGCGAAAGCTTCTTCGAAAAGCTCGGACTGGATGGCAATGTTTGCAATGTCTGGTGCATCGTAGTTATCCAGCCGATTCACATAATCCATCACGCGTGTGCGATCCGCCTTGATGGCAGTCAAGATGAGTAAGTTTTGGAGGTTACGGTGGTCTGAGAAGGCGGAGGAGTCTTCGTGTTAGAAGAGGTTGTTAAGTTACTCGAGTAAACCGTCCAGCCGACTGTACTTCCGAAAGTGTCAGTGTCTTTACAGCAGTCCCAGAACGCAGAGGCTGTCCCGTCAAACCTGTTGGACCTTCACATAATGCATATTAAACTGTAATCCGTATTCCGTTTCACGCACAAACGCTCACAATAATATTCATAAGAAGGAGCAAGTTTGCAACTGAACGGATGCAATCAATCCATGCATCAAGTGGAATTTTTTATAGTAAGAATACTCTACCAGCATAGACATGAATCTGAGTACCATACTTAATCTTCAATCCGATTACCAACCACTACCAGATGATGCTAATGAGATGACTGCAAGGAGTCCCACGACAGGCTAGATACATCACGCTCCTTCAAACCAAAAGTGTTTTCTCACTCCTTTTCAGACTCGCGTACAATGGAAAACAACAACCCACATCTCTGACATACCTGATCAATCAATGGGCGTCGAAACTCATTTGTCTCTGCCAAAACATGAAGCCAGAGCTCCGGCTCCCGCCTTCGCACCAAGTAACGAGCCAGAGTCTTGAAGAGGGAGTTTTCGTTGCAAACTCTCATCAGCTCCTTGTCACACTGGCCCCGCTCATAGGCCAGGCACGCCAAATGCGGGTCTCGCTTCTCGCAGTACTTACCCACCACACGGGAATCGTAGTGCGTGTTCTCCCGCAAAAACCGCTCCGGATTATTATTTGCATCGATGTAGATCTTCGCAAGCGCGTTATGCGTAGCTGGCTCAGCACAGCCATCATGCACGCGTGCTTCGAGCCACGGCAGCAACAGCTTCAGTCTATTTCGCTTCTCCACCTCTTCAACAAGTTCGTCCGTCGAAAACTGGCCTCGCACTACAGCCATAAGACCCTTTATGACATCCTCGCTACAGTCGACATCCAGCAACCCTCCCACCACAATTGGCAGTCGTGCTGGGTTCACCTTCTGCACATAGATTTCGATGTACTTTTGCAGATTATTACGGTACAGGTACAGGACAAGGTCGTGCACGAAGTCAAATCGGTCGCACACAATGATCAACGGCAATTGATCCGTAAGCTTAGCCTCCTTCAAAAAATTCTTCACGCGTTCTGGACTGTAACAGTTGCTCTCACGGCAGATTCGCTCTACTTCTTTAATCTGCCCAGTCTTGCAGGCGGCCTGAATGTACTTGAAGTGAACCTCCGGCTCCTGACTGAAGTTAACAATGGCTCCAAGGAAGTAGAACAATCCCTCATAGCTCTTGAATGACTCAAACATGTCAATAAGTGCCTGCGTGCCGAGCTGGTCGTGATACTTGGTCGCAATCTGCACCACAACCTGCAAATTCTGAGCCTACAACCGTCAGTCGTATCGAGCCTCTGTGAGGTTCCTCAGCAGATGCGACTCACACGGCTTTTTGCAGTGCTCGGTGAGCCCTAAGTTGTACACACACACATGTTGCCGTGCGAACTATAGTAACAGATCCGTGTTCACGAGGTTGCGTGCGACGTCGTTTGGCCGAAAGAGTGTGTTGACCCGCTATACTCGGAACAGTATTACGCACTTGTACAACAAAGGGTACTACCGCAGCCGATGAACGCCCCGTCGGTGATCTAATAATTCCAATAGTCGCGTTTGCAGCGCTCCTTCGGACGGCCGATTATTCTTCAGAGCGTCAAGCAAGAATGCCGTGCATGGCTGGATCATGTTGGACTCCATGAACACGTCAACTATTTGACCCATTTCAGCCAACGGCTCATCATCTTGGATCAACATCTGAGCGAACGAAGCACCATGCTCAGGATTCGTACGCATCATGCTGCGCAGGAGGTAAACATAGTCCGGCTGATATCCCACTTTCTTGGCGTACAGCACAATCTTCTGGAACTGTCCAGTCTCGGCAAAACACTGAATCACCTTGGCGGGAACATTTGCACGGAGATAAACGCTGAGGGCCAGCGTCGGGTCTGACTGCTTCACCAGATCACCAAGCTCTTCGCTGCATTCCAGCTTCTCTTCTTTCAGCCACTTTTCCACAAGTTGCTTTTTTCCCTGGCCCAGGACAGGTCGACAGAGTTCCAGGGATTCGAACTTGTTGAGCTTGCTTTGATCGAGAAGGATTGAAAAATACTGCAGTTGTGGAGAAGTCTGGCCAGGTTGTGTGGGCACAGTTTGGAAGCGCGCAATGATGGCTGGTGTGCGCAGCACGCCCTTCGGCGCGGAAGCCGCTACTTTCGCTGCTTCGGCATACTGACCCGCAGCAAAAAGAGAATTGAAGCGCCGCACGAACAATTCTTCAGCACCAGCCAGATTGTTGCGCACCGCGATGCGTAGGGCAAGGTCCGGGTTTTGCAGCACACTCGTAACGTAAGGCACCACGTTTTCTTCATCAATCGTCACTGACAAAACTTGGCCCTTGCGATTAACGCCAATGATACCACCAGTCGATTCATGTGGACAGGTGACAAAGATCGTATCGCTTGATATACGGTTCATGTAGATGCAAACGCCACTCTCGATGTCATACACGTGGATATAACCGTACTTGGTAATCAGGTAGATGACATCGTATTTGCTGCTCACCTAATAAAAAGCATGGTCCACATGTATACTGTACTTAATGCATATTACAGTGGTCCGAAGCCAGCACTGGATGAACTTACTTGCATGGCAACCGGGAAATCGTTCAGCGCTTCCGGCGGAAAAAATACATCCACCTGCTTCTTTGGAAAAGCTTGGTTACCGGCAGCCGGTTGTCCAACTTCAATGATGTGCAACTTTCCACCAGCTTGCGAGCGGACGGCAAAGCAGAATAACGTCGATGGCTCTGGATTTCCATCCATCTTGAATTGTGTGAAGGATGCGGCGTGGCCTTCGATCGGCTGGCTGACTTTCCTTTCCACGCTGTACAACTGCATGTATCCAACAACACGGTTCTGCTGCGCTGATATCCCAATCAGCAATAGCCAATTTTGTTTTAGATCAGTGCGATAGTTGATGATCTGACATCCGTTCAGGCTCGGATGCCTGTCAAACATCTTTTGCGGCGTTGAGTCTCCTGAAAAAAATGAAACCGCGTCATCAAACTTAATGACATGGAGCACCTTCATCTTAAACCCACCTTCCATGGCCCAATGATAAACAGCCTTTTCTGTCACCAAAGCAATGGAGTTCAAAGATATCCATTTCCAAAATGTCACCTCCTCGGTCATGTTATGCGCCTTCATTTTGGCTTTGATCTCGATGTTGAATATCTGGAGCATCTTCTGGGCTGGAAATGAAAACAAATTATCAAACTCAACGACCGAGCTTCCAGCACGCTCCAATCTCAGCAACGCCAACAACAAACCTTTCAAAGCGATGACTTTTGAGGCAGGATTCATGATGGCAGAATCCGCGGAAATCGGTCGCCTGGTCGGGTTCGTGGGATCAGCCATGTCTAAAATGACAACCTGGTTCGTTTCTCCCATCTTCTCTCTGACGCAGATGAACTTATCCGACTCCATCGTTAGGTTGTTGAAAGTTATATTATTTGGGTTGATCCCAGCACTTGTGAGCTGAAAAACAATCATGCGTAGGTGAGCGATTGCAGTTTAAATTATGTTGGCAAAACGTCACTCACCTGTAGATGCTCCTGGAAACGGATAGGAAGAACTTGGGATCCCGTAGCAGACGTCATGATTTGACTAGAAGAATATCCACAAAAGAACCACTAACACCGCAGTCGGCCGACTTTCTCGAATAGACTCAAATCCACAATTTCGACTGTTAATCCTGATGAGAGGCAATGGTTACCATTACTGAAGGTCAAGCCCAGACATACAAAGTCGGAATCTTCATGAAGTTGGTTCCGTGCAGAATGGGAGCGGGCAAAGTGATGGGTTCGGAACCCATCAATAGAGGTTTCCAGACCTCAAACTTCGTCAAACGCACACACACTCAGTTACTACTCAACGCCACTTGCTTCCAGGCTTCCCCCTTAGAGGGCTATTCCCTTCCACATGTCCCTCAATGCAATAAATGAGTGACTTCATGAACTGCGCATGCTTGCTGGTAGGAATTACATGTAGAAGAATGGAGTAGGAAGATAACATACTATTCAATGCATGAACTTGCAGCATTAAAGCCTTTTTAAATGCATGTAATCTTCCAATTTTCTCAGAAGATGGACAAATTCTTCTTTTCAAAGTGACTCAACAGATCATACCAATTTTCAAATTAAATTTCAAAATGTCATCAAGAAATTTCAGAATTACTGATCTATGTTTTTCTATGCTTCCTCTTTGTTTGGTGGCCATTTATATTTAATCCAAATAAGTATTTTTTGGTTTTAGGATGGAATGACGTGTCCTCAACAATGTGTCGCCCCAGTAATGACACAAGGTAAAGTTCAGGTATTATTGAAAAGCCTATGAATTTCAAGCTTTTTGTTTTCAATTTTGGCTTTCTTTCATGATGTGCCAACAGCTGACATTCACGTGTGAGAATTCAAGTGATGTATCCTACCTCACGCTGTCATACACACATTGTGTATAGGATGGTCTGGAACCTGTCATCAGATGAATTGGCCCACGCCCAGTCCAGTAATTCCTATCTGCAAGCATGCGCAGTTCATGAAGTCACTCATTCCTGGCATTGAGGGATGGTGAGGCCCCATCTTGCCAGAGCAGAACTCTTGGTCATCAAAACTCTTCGACACTGCGCCCACCATCCCCTCACGCTCTGCGGCCAACACTCTCTCTCCTGTGGTCACACATGAGTGACTTCAAGACTCAGGAATAAATCCCTTATGCAGGAATTGGTGTAGCATGGACTCCATGTGAGAAAAAAAGATTTCTCCATATATTTGGAAAATGAAATGATGGGATGTTCCATGGGTCTTTTAGATGTCAGGCATATTTTCTTAAATGTGGTTTGACAATAAGTGCATTTGACAAGCTGTATTCAATTGTGGGTTTGACAAGTGCTTCTTCTGAGGCCTGCTTGACATCAGTTTCATTGAACTTGGGCATTGTATTACTTCAAACAAGAAATTAGCTTCAAAATGTACCAACAATTTGGTTTCATGGGTTTAGAATGACCAAGATTGCTCAGCAATAAAAGTATTGTATAGGTCTTGATGACAATATTTTATTGAGGAGACAAGATAATTTCTTGGACACTGCCTGTATTATTCAGATACAACAATATAATTTTGGTCAGGGCAAGGCTTCAACAAAAATACAATAATTGACCAGTTCATGAAGACAGGAGTTTTTGACACAAGGATCAAATTCTGCTGCAAAAACTATTGTTGCAATACTGTATATTTGGTGGACGGACTTCTTGCCGGAGCCCACATGTGAGCTGCCTAAATGTGAGCTAGTGCGCCCCCCCAGCCCCTCACTCCCTCAACCCATCACTCTCTCCTTTAAGCAAACTCATGAGAGACTTCAGAAAGTCTGTTTCAATTGATATAAGCAGTGTATCAGGACAACTACTATTCCTTTGACTCCTCAAATTTGGTGTGAATTGAATTGTTCTTCAAAATTTCAATTACTTTTTGTTTTAATCATCCTTATTGGTTTACTCAAGGTATGCTTTTCATTGAAAATGTCTCCAATTATACAATTAAAATGTATGCAAGGGGAAATTGTTTGAATTGAAGTGTGAAAAGGTTATATT